CCAACCGCTAACCAGAAGGTTGGTAGTTTGAACACACTCTGTAGATCCATGGGAAAGATACCTGTCGATCCAGTTCTGTAAAGGTTATAGCCTAAAAAACCCTATAGGGCAGTTATACTCTGTTAGATGGTTCCTGTGCCTTGGAATTGACTCCACAGTACACAACAACAATCATGGAATCATGGTGAATATATTTGGATCAGATTTAGAAGAAATTTTGAGTTATCCTTCCTCAATCATAATAGCCTACACTTTCCTCATCTGTCCTTACTGGTTTCGTTTCTTGCTACTGCTCTATCTTCTCATCCATGATGATGTTTTTCAGGCACTGACACTGAGTTTAGAATTGGTGAATCTCTTCCTTGTGTTAAATTCTTTAGGAGTCCCTGGATAGTGCAAACTGTTAAGTGCTGTACTGCTAATGAAGGTTTGGTAGTTTGAATCCATGCAGAGGTGCCCTGGGAGAAAATTCGGGCAGTCTACTTCCAGAAGATCACAACATTTGAAAACCCTATAAAGAGCCATTCTATCCTGAAATACTTGAGGATGAAAAGTCACAATCAAATGTACTCAATGGCAAATGTCTCTTTGGTTGTTGTTATTGTTGTTAAATTCTTTAGCCACTGTGATATACAGAAGGTCAATTACAAGGAGGAGAAATAAGTCTGTGACTAATTTATGAGTTCTTCATGTCTCCTCAGAAGCTAGGAAATGCTATCCTGGCCTCTTAGACCTGAGAGGATTCTTGGATATTTGCATACTGCCTCAACCCAAGGAGGGGTTGCTATGAGTCGAATGGACTCAATGGCAGTGAGTTTGGTTTTTGGTTTAATTTATCATTGCTGACAAATGAACCATGTGGTAGAGTGTGTTTGTCTTGATCATCCACATTTAATAAATGAGCAAACTCGGTCTGGGTGTGGGGCTCATATACTGCCTCATGTTGATAGGCAGTGAACCAGTACTAGAGCAAGACTCAGGAACAACAAACTGTGACATCAGTCTGTGTATGATTTGAAAGACACTGTTCTTTTGTGTTTTTTCCTTGCAGGGATTCCTGAGTAAACAGAAGCATCATTTTTGGGAAACAAACCAAGCCCAGAACTGGATGGTACCAAATATTCTACACAGACAACTCTCTGAAATAAATTTCCTCTTTGTATCTACCCCACTGGTGTAGCTTTCAAACAAGTGGTCCATCTCACCCAGCAAAAGGTGAGTTATTTGCTTTCTTATAACATTAACATCAGTGATCAGCTCCTAGGAGAAAAGAATCTAGGTGGTACTAGTGTAAAGATTGACAGTTTGAACCCACCCAGTAGTTCCATGGATGAAAATCCTGATGGGACAGTTCTACTCTATCACATATGATCACTAGGAGTCAGGGTCCAACTCAGTGGCAGGTAACAACAATTGCAAGCAAAGACACATTTCCAAGGTAGTTGTACAAATCAGAAAATTTGTCCTGCTTCCTTCTTAGAGCAGCACAACAGTGCTTAATTAGATTGGGGAAGAAGTGTAAATGTTCCATGCATTGAAGTTTAGAATACATGTTTTCCAATCTTTTAGGGTCTCTACCTGGAGTCCATCATGAAGTCACAAAAGGACTAGGGCACATGGACCAATAAAGGAACTAGTGAGAGATCTGGTCCCTTATTTTATAGACAAGGTATCTAAGGCTCCCAGAGCTTAAGACTGACAGAAGGCAGAGCCAGGATCAGTGTGAGATTCCTGCTGTTCTTCCTCTATTCTCTGGAGAGAAGGTGCTGGGAATCCTTTTTGCTCAACTTATTGACATAGAACATCACTTCTATATGCAATGGGATTCAGAGTTTCAGAACCATGGTTCAGGAATCATGGGTCTCTTCCCCCATCTTAGTTGCCCAAAGTAAAACCACACATATCTTCATGCTTTTGAGGTCTAATAATTTGATTTTGTTTCTTGCAGATGGCTTACTTGAAGATGAGATGTATATATATGTTTCTACTGGTTCTGGGGACCCTTTGCTTGTATTTTAGCATTAACAGTGTGACTCCTTTTGAAAAAGAACAGTTTGTTTATAAGAAAGAAAGTGGAAACTTCCTTCAGCTCCCGGAAGTAGACTGCAGGCAGAATCCTCCCTTCCTTATCCTGCTGGTGACTTCCTTGCACAGTCAGGTGGTTGCTCGTATGACCATCAGGCAGACTTGGGGGAGAGAAATGGTCGTGCAAGGAAAACAAATAAAAACCTTCTTTCTTCTGGGAGCCACAACTGAACAGCATGAAATGACAACAGTGACCCAGGAAGGCCAGCAACATCGAGACATTATCCAGAAGGACTTTACAGATGTCTATTTCAATTTGACTCTGAAGACCATGATGGGCATGGAATGGGTCCACTACTTCTGCCCTCAGGCCACCTTTGTGATGAAGACAGACTCAGACATGTTTGTAAATGTCCACTATCTGACTGAACTACTTCTAAAGAAAAACAGAACAACTAGGTTTTTCACTGGCTTCTTAAAAATGAATGAATTCCCAATTAGGAAAAAATTCAGTAAGTGGTTTGTCAGCAAACTCGAGTACCCATGGGACAAGTACCCACCATTTTGTTCTGGCACGGGCTATGTTTTTTCTAGCGATGTTGCAAGCCAGGTGTATAATGTTTCTGACAGTGTCCCCTTCATTAAATTAGAAGATGTTTTTGTGGGACTCTGCCTTGAGAAACTGAACATCAAGCTGGAGGAACTTCACTCAGAGCAGACGTTTTTCCCTGAAGGGCTGAGCTTTTCCACATGTCGCTTTAAGAAAATTGTGGCCTGCCATTTTATCAAACCTCCGGAAATGTTGGCCTATTGGCATGCTCTGGAGATTTCTCTGGGAGAAACATGCCCAGGTGTCTGAAGCAAGCCTAAGGGCACATCCAGACGAACATCAGACAACCCCTCAGTGATTGTTATCAAGAGCTGTAGGATGGTATTACTGAGAGTCCTCAGTGGGAAAGGGAGCAAGGGAGGGAAAGGGAGAAAGGATGAGGACAGTAGCTTGCTGTGCTCCAGAGCCAAGCTAGAATATAAACATATATGAGACCACAGAGTAATTCCCATTGAGTGCCACAAGTGATAACTAATAACATGTCTTAAGGACCTTCATCACTTCCCTAAGTGTTTGATAGACACCTACACCTTCTCACTTCAATGACCAGTATCCATACAAAGTGATGGGCATTATCATCCCCATTTGACAGATGAGAAAACTGGCTCATTGAGGCACAGTGAGTGGTCCCAAGGCTCCCAGCCCACAAATAGTGGAGCAGGAGGAAAACTGCCTTGGAAACCCAAGGAGGGGTCACTGTGAGTTGTTTTTTTTTTTAAAAAACAGGATCCAGTCATCAACCTCACCCTCTGTGCTTCTCCCTTAGGAGATAATGGTGAGAGCAAAGGGAAGTTTTGTTCTCACCTTCAATCTCTTTCTAAACCCCTTTCCTAATTCTCAATCCTTGTGGTTTTTAGTTCTAAGCCTGGGATGTACCAATTCCTCTCCCCTCCACCCCACCGTGCTCCCTTGATGCTCTGGGGTGGGTCTGGTGTGGCTCTGAGTTCATGTTAGCAGCATGGCGCTCCACACACCTCCAAGTCACATTCTGGAAGATGTGAGTGCAGTGTCTGCAGTGCCCCTTATAGGAAATGGCCCACCTCAGACATAAATAGATTTTTATAAATTGGGCTCAGAGCTCCCTCAGCCTCAGCCAGTGTCAGACTGTTTGACAGCACTGCTCACTTCCTAAGTGAGTTGGATGTCTTCTCAGAGCTGATTATGGGGCTCTGGTCTGTTTGTTCCATAAGCCCTTAGTATTCAATCTCTAGGGACCAACTTCTGCCCTGGGAACACTTTTGGTGTCTCCGTTTAAACCAAAGAGGAGCTGGGCACAAGGCATGGTCTCTGCAGGATTCTGGGAACTTTCTGGGCTTCAGTTGTAATTATATCAAAGAACCCTGGGACACAAAGCAAGGAACTGGACCCTGATCGAGGGTGTCTCCCTTTATATCCATCTCAGCCTGACCCAGCTCAGCTTGTCTGGATTTCTCAGGTGGCCAAAGAACAACTGAGGTCTGTGGTTTGAAGTGTAACCATCCACTTCCTCCTTACTGGAATTTTTGCATGAGCCTGTTTCATAGGATGTGAGGCAACGAGGCACTTCATTGCAAGGGCCTTTGCCCAGCCAGCCACCCTCACACTATATGCAAGGTCGTCTTGCTGCTGCTGACTGCAGGAATGACTGTTTTTCAGTTTTGCTTTACCTGACTTTACTAAGCAGACAAAGGTCTCACATGGCTGCACCACTTATATATGTTGGACTCTCATCTAAACTCAGGAAAAGATATTTGCTGCAAAGTGGTGAAGACAATGTTAAACTGCAAAATGAGGTCTATATTTGCCTGGCATTTCTCGCTCCTTAAGCAAGCTGTTTCTGTGCAGATGTGTTTGCTCATCAGGCTGCTCTGAAATTCCCCTCCTCCCAGTCCTGTTCAGAAAAGCTGCCTCAGGTTGCAAATGCAGTGACTGAGCTAGTTTTTTGAAGCTTGTGTTTCATAAGATCCACTACCCTTGGCTCCATAGGATGGATGCCTCTAATTCTGAAGATAATGGTGTGCCTGAGAGTGAGCTAGCTTGCCTGCCTGTGGGGCTGGGTCTGTGCTCAGCAATCTGTCTTGCCAGGTTCGTATAGGTGTGGCCACTAGGTGAGAGGTGTGGCTGTGGCTGAGGTGGTCAGGTCATGGCCTCTGAGCGCGCCCTTGCCGTTTGGACTCCTCAGCATCCGCCTGCAGCTCTGGGTCACAGCAACAGGCACGGGCATCACCGACAGACTCGGTTCTTAAGTGGTTTTCTGCAAAACTCATGTTTGTTTGTTTTTTTTCCATTGTATTTCTTGATGCAATGAAGACTTTTTTTTCTGGGGAAAAATCATATACTTTATGACTATTGAAACCTGAAGGGACCTTAGAATGCATTCAACCCAACCCCCACTTTTATGTAGGATTAAACCAAAGGTCAGTGAAGCCCAGAGGTCACAGCTAATTTGTAGTGGAATCCAGTTCTCTGCCCATAGTCTGTGTTCCATTATACCAACTTGCCTATACATGAGAGTATGAAAGAATAAATGCATGAATAATGAGACCAAGCAATGGTTTTCCAAGAACACACAAGGCTTGTTTGAAAACATGCCTGAGGAGGAGCCTGAACTGTTAGCTATTGGCGCAGTACCTTCACACACCAAAAAAAAAAAAAAAAATCCCACTGCCATCGAGTCGATTCCGACTCATAGCAACCCCCATTGGGTTTCCAAGGTGGTAAATCTTTACAGAAGTAGATTGCTCCACCTTCCTTCCATAGAGTGGCTAGTAGGTTTGAACCACCAACCTTCTGGTTAGCAGTCAAATGCCTTAGACACTACATCACCAGAGCTCCTTCCTTCACTCACTGGTACTAGGAAAGAAAAGATTGTGATAACGAGCACTATTTGCCAGGTATTAAGATGAGGGCTTTTTGACGATTAACTCCTTTAAATGCTCACAACTACTCCAGGGAGGAGGCTGCTACCAATATCTTTGGCTGACAGATGAGGAAACTGAGGCAGAGAGAGAGAGAATTTGAGCAACTAGACCAAGGTTAAAAACAAAATCCTCACAACTAGACCAATAAGCAATACCATGATAAATGGAAAAAAGATTGAAGTTGTCAAGGATTTCATTTTATTTGGGTCTACAGTCAACACCCATGGAAATAGTAGTGATTTCTTATCAAATGGCATATTGCATTGGGTAAATCTGCTGCAAAAGACCTCTTTAAAGTGTTTAAGGTCAAAGCCCAAGCTATGGTATTTTCAGTCACCTGATATGCATATGAAAGCTGGACAGTGAATAAGGAAGATGAAAGAATTTATGCATTTTGATGCATTTGAGTTGTGGTGTTGGCCTAGAATATTGAATGTATCACTGTTAAAAGAATGAACCAATCTGTCTTCGAGGAAGTACAGTCAGAATGGCCAGACTGCTCTCATACTTTGGTCAAGTTGTTGGAAAGGACCAGTCCCTGGAGAAGGATATCATATTTGGTGAAGGAGAGGGTCAATGAAAAAGGGGATGACCCTCAATTAGATGGTTTGACACAGTGGTTTTAATGATGGGCTCAAGCATGGCACTCTTGTGAAGATGGCACAGGACCAGGCAATGTTGCATTCTGTTGTACATAGCGTCGCTATGAGTTGGAACCAACTTGATGGCATCTAATAACAAGAACTGCCTGGGGTTACATAGCTGAAAGTTGCAGAAATGGGGTGAGAATCCAAGCTATTGTGTATGTTTGTAGCACTCTACCCCTCTCCCCACCTCCAGAATGTCAGCTAGCCCTGCCCCCCACCTTAACCCCCAGTATTCCAGGGGGACTAGGGTGCTCACTGCATTGGCCTCATAGACTGCATTTCTGGGTACTTCCACAGCCTCCCGTCACCACACATGCCCACCCCAGCTTCTGAGCAGCATTCTTCCATCCACTGACTGTAGAAACAAACCATTAAACCCCATAAAGCACTTCCTCCACTTTGAACTTGATTCCCAGCCCTTTTTGTGTCCTCAAGGATATTTTCCCTTCACTCATCCTCACGCTGTGGATCATTCCCAGAAGCACACAAATTATATTTTCCTGTCTTAAAAAAAGAAAAAGGCAGCCTACCCTTGACCTCCCACTTCCTCCAGCTACCACCCCATTTCTTGGCTCCCTTTCAGTTTAACTTCACGAGGGCATTTTATCTGTTTTCTTCAATCCCTCTCCTCCTATCCCTTCTTTCTTTTCAAGTTGATTTTTTTTAATTGGGGTGAAAATGTGCATGCCAAAACATTCTCCAATACAACAACTTCCAAATTTATGATTCAATGACATTGATTAAATTTTTCATGTTGTATCACCATTATCACTGTCTTTTCCAAAATATTCTACCACCATTAATATAAACTCAAATCAATTTGATGGCAACTAACAAAAAAAAAAAAAAAAAAAGTTCTCTTTAATCAGAGTTGGCATTGCCCACTTCACCTAGCTGGTGCTTATTACATTATAGTGATCTCACGTGGCTGGACATAGTGGTCAGACCTCATCTTACTTGACCTCTGACAGTATCAGACACAGCCAGTCTCACTTCCTTCCTTGATGAGCACCCATCACCAGGTTTCCAGAAGACCACGTGCTCCTGGTTTCCTTCCTCCTCACTGCTCACTCCTCTGCAGTTTCCTTTGCTAGTTCCTTCTCTCTACTCTGACCTTTCAGTGCTAGTGTCCAGGGCTCAGCCTTGGTCCCCTGTTCTTATCTAGTTACTAAGCTTATTCCTCTGCTTATCCCAGCCAGACTCACAGCTCTAAATATCATTGATTATGCCAGTGATACCCACAGATCTCCAGCCCCAAATTTCTTTCTCTTTAGTCTATTTGACATTGCACAGTGAGAAAATCCAAAATGGAGTTTCTGATCTACTTCCCCCAAATCCATTCCACCTGCATCCTTCCCTATCTCTGTTAATGGTGACTCCATCCTTCCTATGGCTCAAGCCAAAAATCTTGGAGTCATCCTTGACTCTTCTCTCTTGTTGAATCAGAAACTGTTCACTTTACTGGCAAATTATATCCAGAGTCCGACTATTGCTCACTGCCTCCACTACAACCAGCCCGGGCCAGACCATCATTGTCACTCACCTGCAGTGCTGCAGTAGCCTCTACCTAGTCTCCCAGCTGCCATCCTTGCATTCCTTTGAACTGTTGCCAACACAGCAAAAGTGAGTCTTTGAAAATGGAGATCAACACATCTCACTTCTCTGCTCAGAAACCACCAGTGGCTTCTGATCTCAGAGTAAA